AACAAATACAAACACGAAAAATAATGATTAAAAAAATGGCTATTAAAATTTTAAATAGTAATACTAAAAGAAAAAAAAAAWAAAATCTCATTAATTCAGGCATTTCCCAATCTTTGTTTCGTTTACAAAAAATGAAATATGTCSATCTAATTGCGATGCTTATTATCTTCTTTAGTATGTATACTTTATTTTTCTCGAATCCTAATATATTGACCATGTCTAAAAATGAAGTACATTCAGTTGAGAAAACTCCGAGCGAACTGATTGATAAATTWACAAATTTKAYAGATTTAAAACGATTACGTAATGTTTCAATAAGAGTTTTGTATTTCAAATATTTTCGGTTCACATTATTTAGGAGATTGGATTCAAATCCAACAGTCAGTTCTACAATATATAGGCAGTCAGAGGTRTGAACAAGTAGGTCAGGTCGATAAGTGTCACCAGTGATGATTGAAGCAGACTGTTTGCGAAGTGTCGACGATAGTTGGAGCAGTGGCCGGCAACGATCTCAACAAGATGGTTATCCCGCTCTATMAAACCATGATCGCTTCAATCTTCATCTAGAAATACTCCTGCGTGAATATTAACATTGTTTTCTTAATCCAGAAGAGACAGAATCCCTAATCAAATTGAGATTGTTGCGGAATTCACTCAGCTACGAAGTATCGGTTTACATCTCGCCAAGGAAAATGCACTATTTGGCACGATACACCAACCTTTATGACCTAAACCAATGTCATAATATATGCTCTTACACAGATTAATGTTTTGGACAAAAGACCTCGAATATCAAAGAATTACTATAAAAGCTACAGTAACCTCCCGAGCAGTTCACTGTTCTATGATACGATTGTTTAMAGCCGAGTTCGTAAWGTGATATTTCGTATAGAGATCGGAGGGCGATCGGGAGACCCGAAGGCAAACTTTTTACATTTGTCGAACCAACTGGATTATTGCTTCGGGGGCCGGCGGCAATGGGGTCATGACTGATACCCATGTGTTTTCCTCCAACCGCCACCCATAGCCTTCAGGTGATGGTAGCTCTGGGTTGCAGGTGATGTCACAGTTCCCATACCCAGGGGCGGATCCAGGATTTTCCTCAGAGAGGGGTGCGGGCCTCTCAGAAGTGGGTGCACCCAACAAAAATCATTACCAYGAAGATACAAACCATCTCGGGATTTGAAAAATTTGTATGTAAGCTGTATCTACCCAAAACAGCTATCTCTAAAGTGCAGAATCTGACATGGATCTTATTCAAGAAGAAGCAGGCTGAGCAGTTACCACTTACAGAATCAGCCCTGAAAGAAGGCATCTTCAGAGCTCACTATCAAGCAATGGTATGGAACTGTGACATCATCTGTAACCCAGAGCTACTATCACCTGAAGGCTATGGGTGACAGTTGGAGGAAAACACATGGGTACCAGTCATGACCCCATTGCCGCCTGCCCTCGGAGCAATAATCCAGTTGGTTATATGTGTCTGTGCTAAGGACAAATGTAAAAACAATCGATGCCAATGCGTCAAAGCAGGACTAAATTGTACTGACCTCTGTAAATGTTGTGATGATGAAGAAGTATGTGAAAACTTAATGTCAGAAGAAACCAACGACGAAGATGAAAAGGAAATGAGAGTGATGGGTAAATTTTCTGCATGCTTACATATACCTTGATTTTACATTTCTTTTCATGTAAAAATAGTCTTCTTTCCATAAGACTTTAAACAGTGATTTCAATATGCTTCAGCTAGTTTGAATAATGTTTATCGAATATTGTTTTGTCATCTCAAGTGATACAGTAATAGTTCTGAAACTTAGATCATTTCATTTTACCGCCTCGTTTTCATGTTAAAATGGTCATGTGACAACCTCTGCCTACAGTACTTGGTGTGTGTGTTATAAGCATCCCAAATGCTAATTTAGGTGATTTTACAGGCACAAATGCCTTGAAACAACAGTATATATATCTGAGTATATGTTTAACGATTAGCCTCGTCGTCATGTTAATATGATCATGTAACCATTAACGTCTAATACTGTAGTTGACATGCTAAAACATCCCAAGTACTAATTTAGGTGATTTTACTTCCAATACATGGCTTGGAACAAMCGTTTATATGCACTTTAACTATTAGCCTCGTTTTCATTTTAAAATGGTCRTGTGACCACCTTAACGCCTAATACTGCAGTCCACATGGTCAAAGCATTGCAAGGGGTAATTTAGATGATTTTACATCCAATACATGGCTTGAAAAACCGTTTATATACACTTAAGTTATCAGCCTCGTTTTCATGTTGAAAAATAATATAACAATAATAAAACTTTAATAAAAAGTCTCCAAACAAAATTCACGACTGTCAACAACACTTTTTAGCATCAGTAGGGTCTAATGAACATATCTAGACCATTGGCTTGCTTTCAGCAGAAAATACGGAATTACTTATGCTGCTGGACTATAATGAGGTTCAAAACTTGTCAAACTATGCAATCATAGCCCCTCAACATCTAAYATTATCCACACCTTTACCACACTATGTAACTTAGACTTTTATTACAGGAAGCTATTTACTTAGTGAGCAAACCAACAGTMATTTTGTCTTCTCTGGGTGTTTATAAATACAGAAAATTGTGAGCAGCTTTTTTCTTGGCTATCCAAGTTTGCACCCATAACAAAACACATCGAATAGATTATTGATTTATGTTTTTTTAGACTGATTCCATAAGTCGTAGTATTCGCTCCTCAATTTTTCGGTTTGTCGCTCAAACTAGCGTGTCCGGGAGCAGAAAAAAAAGAGCGACCTGACAGACTGGTGGAATCAGTCTAATGTTTTTTATGCTCCATGTATTGAATGAGCATTAATTGTGGCACCAGCTGGAAAGTTCTTTATAAAGCTTTATGAAACATCTCATATTCCTATAGTGTAACTTTAAGAGTTTTTGAATTTATCTTGAGAGTTTTTTTACAAATCTAATCATGTTGATTGTTTGTTGCACCTAGAAAACTGTGGACCTTTTCATCATTGCTTTTGAAATTGTAATGGTCCATTTTCAAAACAACTGAGCGCTGTTTTGTTTGACACCAGATTCTCTTTTGCAATTTTAGACCTTACCAAAGAACGAATGAAATTAATTTTCCCAATATGGAGCTCTTTTATGTTTGTAAACCTATTTGTGAATGACAATGRTCTGGTGACAATAATACAGCAATTGTTTTGCTTTGAAGTTGAAAATAGTTTTCATTGCAGGGTTTTCTTACAAGTTTTCATATAACATTGTAGTTTTCATTTTCAAGGGAAAGATTAACATACCATTACATTATTTTTTGAAAACAAATTGTTTACTAAATTATATATGAACAAAAATTAATTCAATCAGGAATTCAATCTTAGTATGAATAATACAGCAATCATGAAAAATCGTATCATAATTTTCATACTTTTTAAATCA